CACTACCTAAAAAATAAAAAAAATAAATGGAATTATAAAAAAAATCACCATGAGATGTTACACATTGATGTACATTGATGACGTGCTAATGGTGTGGCAAGGTAATGTAGGCCAACTAGAAGAATTCATCTCAGAACTAAACGTAAACACCCGAAACCTTAGACTAACATTTACTTCCAGCAATTTAGAGATCCCATTTCTGGATCTATTGATCCGGATAGAAACAGGAAGACTTACCACGAGAACGTTTAGAAAGGAGACTGCGGCGAATACACTACTTCATGCGAACAGTCACCATCCCCTATCACTGAAGCAGGGAATTCCCACAGGACAGTTCCTGAGGATTAAAAGGAACTGCACTGAACACAAACATTATCTAATGGAATCTAGATCCCTATACAATTGCTTCAGGCAGAGGGGTTACTCACACAGAACACTTCGAACAAGTAAAACAAAAGTAGGACAGAAAAATAGAGCAGAGATTTTAAAGGGCAAAAACAATAAGGAGGAAGAATCAAAAAAGAATACAGTAAATTATACAAGAATGATTGCACAATATGGGTCAGGTTGGCCAAAACTGAGACAAATTTTTGAAAAACATTGGCATGTCTTGAATCTGTATCCGAAGCTTTCCAATATAGTTGGCCCTTGCCCACTTTTGACAGCAAGGAGAGCTAAAAATTTAAAAGACTATTTGGTGAACTCTGAATACAGACCGAGTAAAGACAATTTGTCGCTGTCAATGCTACCAAAAATAAAAGGAATGCACCCTTGTGGCAAATGCCACATATGCCCTTATGTAGAGAAGACAAAACATTTTCAGAATTCAGAAGGGACGAAATCTTATCAAATTACCCAGTTTATGAATTGCAATACAGACAAAGTAATATACAGTATATGTTAGAATGTCCATGTAAAAAATCATATGTCGGAAAAACAAAACGACAGTTACGTGTACGGAATGGAGAGCACTTAAGGGATATTAAAAACAAAGATATAGACAGCCCCATAGCAATGCATTTTGCAGATTGTCGCAACTCCTCCTTAAAAGGCCTGCGGGTAAAGGGGATTTATGTTCTGAACCTACCTTCAAGAAGAGGGGACTTTGACAAAGTGCTCCTACAGAAAGAAAAAATTTGGGTATACAGACTTAACACCCTTCTACCCGCAGGCCTAAACAATGAAATGAACCTGAGTGTCTTCCTTTAGAGGAATATTTCATAAACAAATAATAACATTAATATACTATCATTCCCTTATGTGCCCATTTTTACTCGAACAGTAAAAATCGAATAAATGGCCTTGACAATCTTTTATATATATTTAGACATTTGAACAACAATATGTAGGTTTTTTGAATGCTTTCGGTATGAAAGAATAGATAGCCGATATGCTGAGTTTTTAGAAAAATGTGACCCTCATTAACACTCGATCATAGAACATGCACTTCAGATGTAATGACCCAGCAGGTGTGAAAGGGTTATTTAAGACAACCATCCACCAGCCATCCTTATGGTTCTGACGAAGCTCCGGTGGGCGGAGCGAAACGCGTCTACCCGTGAATGTATGTTACACACGCTATGTGACCTACACAGACGACTGCTTCCCTGAGAAACTTCTGACCTTAACCCCGAACAAACAACGACGGAGAGACATTTTTTCCTTTAACTACGAATCTAATCAAAAAACCCCCCTACAAAATCCTCCCCCTACAAGTGAGCCATACACCAACAATAACGTTGAGACTACAGGACTTCCATCTGGATATCTGGACTCGCAAAGGAGGGGAACGAGACGACCAACTGTGAGTACAGCTGACTATGAAACAACTTGAAATAGTCCATCACAGGTCTCCCCCTCGAAAAATACTCTGTTCATCGGGAGGAATTTATTGATATAGGGGAAGGTTAAGATGATTCAGGAAATCAAGTGAAGGACTCTTTCTCTTTAAAGAAATAGATTTATAAAGAATACAGATATATGGAAGTTCATGATTACATCTTACCACACAGGATTGTGTCACCTTCCAATTATGGTGAATCACAGAGACTTCCTATATTAATCACCAACTGATAGATAGTATCCATTAGGTCTTTGGATACCTGTTAAAGAGTTTTTCAACTTGATCTATCTTGTCAAAATACCAAATTATCGTCTGTCAAGGGGATCAGCACTGATTACTATCAGGTGCTTCACCTGGGAGTATTCCCTCGTTTTGTTTCTGCAGGGATTGAGCTTAGTCGCAGTGTGTGTGGGGCCCATAGCATGTATGAATGAATGTTTGAGTGTCACGAACAACGTTGTTCTTTTATTTCATCAGTAAGAAGCGGAATTGTTGTTGCAATTAATTTATGTTTTGTAAAACAAATAAAGTTTATTTTTATAAGATTCACTGGTCTCGGTCTGTTTAGCAACCACTTTCTGTGATCCTCACTTGGAACACTTCCCTGTTTTTTGTTCATTAACTTTTGGTTGCATGACCTTGGATGACCAATCATAGAAATACATATAAAGGGATTGTTATAGTATATCGGAGCTCCAGGGAATATACAATTTTTCTCCTATTTGAGATATATATTTAAAAAAAAAAGATAGAAAATCATTTGATGTTTTTTAAAGCCTAATAAGGGTAACTTTTAACATTTGTTTTAATATAGTTAAACAGGGACTCAAGTTTGTACCTACCATAAGATAAGCACTGGGAAAGCCAGGCTGACTACGTAAGAGTGCTGGGTGTACCTGAGACGTCAAAGGCCATTATGGAGATGTCAAAGGCCATTATGGCACTGCTGTCATTGTTCTTGGTGAAGGCGGAAGGTGCCTTTACAGTACTCTCCATTATATTTTATATAACTTGGGGTAGCAGAGAGACACCGTGTAGGGGAAGTTTTGGAAAGTTAAAACTATGTAGTTTTGTTTTGTTTTTGCAAAATAATCTATTTCACTTCTAGAAATGGGTTTTGCTATGTAGCTAGAGAGAGTCAGGCTAGATACATATTGTGGTTAGATTTTAGTGCCATGGATAAACTGCTTAAATTTGGCAATGATATAATGCAGTCAGGGCAATAAACCTGATTAGGTCCAATTTGAACAGTGACCTGTACACAGTATGTACAGAAGAAAAAAAACACAGGCCATCTACCTCGATATATGGCAAAAAGCAAGACATATTCATTCCCATCTTATTCATTTGCACAAAATTATGTCTTATATATATATACTCTGGAAACCCCTAAGCTATTGGGTTTTGAAAGTACCCTGCACAGCCAAAAGTCTGAGGACTCTAAGCTTTTTTGACATTCCACTCTAAGACCATGAACAATAATATGGAATCTTGTAATCCTTCACCCCCCATTTGTTGCCAGAGCATTTATGAGGACAGGTATTGAGTTGGATGAGAAGACTTAGCACGCAACTGGCATCTGTATTCATCCCAAAGGTGTTTAGTAGAGTTGAGGTCAGAATTAAGTAGGCCAATTGATTTTCTCCACATAACTCTCAACACACCATGTCTCTATTGAGCTGGCTTTGTGCACAGGGGCATAGCCATGCTGAAACAGCAAAAGGGCTTCCTAAAAACTTTGGGCTCAAGACTGGAGGTGCAAAATTGTCTTAATTGTCTTTGTATTATGTAGCATTACCAGTACCCTTCAGTGAAAACACCTGAGCTCAATAATTTGGAGCGGTGTCCACGTGCTTTTGGTCATATAGGTAGGTGTAGTGGTCAGGTATCCACAAACTTTTGGCTATACGGTTTTCCCAAATGGGACACAGACTGTAATTGTGTTGCTCTTTGGGGTAATTTCCCCTCAGTGCCTGTATAGGTACAATAAGTAAGAGTAATCTACTCAAATAGGACCCAGAGAGCAATTCAAATTGTAACAGGTGTTTTAGCCTTAACCTAATCTATTTAAAACCTTTCAAATGTTTTTGAGGGAGTTGAGTGGACAAAGAGTGATTTGATAGAATATCAAGACAAGACAAATACAATGAGACATTGGATGAGGAAGGACAGATTTTCAGAGAGTATGTATGTTGGAGAGCCCACCAACAGGTCCAAGCATCATACAGATCAGGAAAAACTTCATGGTGGAGTTCAGTCCAGAATGAGTTGATGGTGGTTGCAGCCAGTATTTATGAACTACGTCAACAAGAACTCTTCCCAACTTTTGATAACTTATCAATGCACAGGCCAATGTATAGGTGATATACTGGGGAGGTGTAGGACAACTTAACAAGGGCTTGTTTTGAAACCTATTTTAAACTAATCAGCAAATAATTTACTAATAATAAACCTTTTTACTGAAATAAACCTTTACTATATTGTTTGCCTAAAGTGCTCTACAATTTAATACAAAGGCCGCTGGTTCATATACACACTAAGGGGATTATCCACGTACGGCTGATCCTTCGGCTTGCTTCGGCCGCCTGAGCCCTTCGGTTCAGTCGAACAGAAGGGCTGCTGTACGGGCTATTCACAATAGCCTGTACAGCAGCCGAAGTCAGCCAAGCAGCTCAGCCAAGCCAAGCCATACCCATATGCTTCGGCTCGCGTGAGCCGTATTCACAGCGGAAGTGTGGTGAAAGGTCGGACGAAGCCAACCGATCTCCACGCAAATGGCAGCTGGGCGGAGCCAGCCATGATCTCAAGGCTGTCTCCGCCCAGTTGTAATGACAGATCAGCATCTCCAAATAACCTGATCTGTCATTAAAAAAAAAATAGTTGTCAACAGGTGCTCATAGTGGTAAATTGCATACAAATATACAAATATTGCATACAAATATTATTTACAATGCCTTCAACATTAGTGTATTTAGTTATTAGCTTTAAACAGGTTTCTAAATCTTGAGTCGTTGACAAACCACCTTTCACGTGTTCAGTGTCCCACCTGGTTATTCATTTGTGCATTGATTACTTATCAAACACAAGGCAAAGGTCAGGTCAAATATATTTTTAGGTATAAATACCAGGAGCTAACACAGCTTACTCACTCCGGATCATCATCACCATGAAGTTCCTTCTGCTCTGTATGCTCCTCGGAGCTGTTGGTGAGTCCACCTACTGATATACTTTATTTCTTGGTATCCTGCCTTATTATATCCTATCCTTTCATATCAAAATTTATACTGAAAGAAATGTAATAAGGTTAAAAAGACACACAAATCTGAAAAGATTCTCATTGGAAAAGCACAAACCCTTGATGAAACAGATGTCCATATATCTTCATAGTGGAGGAAAGGAATACAGTTTTACAATTAGAGATTACTTTGTCACAGACTTAACAAAAGCTGTCTTGAAAACATTGTTTTAAAGAGCTACTTAAGAAATAAAACCAATCAATGTGTACTGCTATTGCAGGTAAACTAGGTAAAATCCTTGGATAGAGTACCCTACGATCCTTGTGTTCCCTTTAACACATGATTGCAAAGTGCCAAGGAGCCTTTTAGATATTTTTGTTCTTTTTTTATAACTGGCATACTCTTGAATATATTGTAGGGCTGGTAATGATGAAAATTTTCGTGTTCGATTAATCAAATTTTTTTTAAATCGATTAATCGATTAATTTCGATTAATTATAACGCACATACAGATCCAACTGCATTGGCCTATACACATACAGCACAGCAATGAAATAATAAAATGAACTAGGATCACACTAATCCAGCACGTTATTAATCTCACGTGCCCCACTCAATAAGGCCGCCGCTTGAGTGGGGCACGTGAGAATAATAATGTGCTGGATTAGTGTGATCCTAGTTCATTTTATTACTTCATTGCTGTCGTGTATGTGTATAGGCCAATGCCTTTGCTGGCGCTCGTGCAGAACAAGTACTCACCGGCCCAAGTGGTAGCTCCGTTGGCTAACAAAGGGAAGGGGGAGGAGCCCGGTGACGTCACGGACATCGACGTCATCGGACTCCTCCCCCTTCCCTTCGTTAGCCGACAGAACCACTTGGGGAAGGGGGGAGGAGTCCGGTAACGTCAATGTCCATGACGTCACCGAATCTCCGACAGGACTCCCGGAAGCCGGCGGAGAGGTGAGTGTTTTCATTTTTTATCAAAATTATTTAAATCGATCAAAAAGTTTAACGATTAATCGAGAAATTAATCGTTAATTTACGCAGCCCTGATATATTGTAAAACTTATGGACTCTATGGTATATTTTAGAACTCATTTGATATACTTTGACTTCTTTCCTCCTCAGCTGCTTTTGAGGAAGATGATAAGATTGTTGGAGGCTACACCTGTGCCGCTTACTCTCAGCCCTGGCAGGTATCTCTGAACTCCGGCTACCACTTCTGCGGTGGCTCCCTGCTCAACAGCTTGTGGGTGATCTCTGCTGCTCACTGCTACAAGGCGTAAGTTTCTCAAACTTGCAAAACAAATTCAACACAATGCTTTTTCTTAGTTATAAATGAATATGTAGTACCCACACAGTGCATCTGTAGCTGCATGCCATTAGGTGTAGTTGTTTGAAGACATGTGCGATTCGTTTCGTTCCGAAACTAAATTCGGACGAATTTTCGGGAAAATCGGACATTCGGATGCATCCGAATTACAGATATAACGAATGCAAACAAATCCGAATTTCCGTTTCCGAAATTCATTAGCAGTAGTTAATTTGAACGATCGTTTCATTTTCGTTTCTTATTCGTTGCGTTCTTTCCAGCAAAGTGACATTAGAGAAGGAGAAAAAATGCCTCAAATGCCACTTTGCTGCGAACGAATGAACGACACGAATAAGAAACGAAAACTAAACGAACATTCGAACGAACTACCGCTAACGAATTTCGTCCGAATCCGAATTGATTTTCACACCTGAACCCCGAAAAACGAAATAACACAAAATCCGAATCAAAACGAAACTAAACAAATGTTTTTGCCAGTGCACATGTCTAGTTGTTTGTGCTTATTGAACTACTGAATTTTCTATGCTATCATTTCCAATTAATTTTGATAAGTTTTTGTTTTTTTAAGTTTTTGTATTTAATGCATCTCAAAGAAGTCCCTGTGAGTAAGCCCAGTGCAGCCACTGACATGCTTCTCATTCATAACAACATCACATTCATGGACAATGTAGGGGCTAGTACATGTTTTCCTGAAACCCTCTCTTAGTCCAGGGCTTGAATTTCCACTCTGTGGCCAGACAGCCTCGACGGAGGAAATTTCTGAACAGTAATTAACACTGATAACAGATAAAGAACACAGGGATGATAGTTTTTAGAACAAAAAAACAGGGATAAATATAAACTCTATCCTATACAGATACAGACTGGCTGCAGCTCAGCTCACAATACAACAATATCATCTAAAGCACAGTATACAGTACAGAAAGATTTTTCGTCCACTAAAAATGGCATACCATTAAACATTACTTCTATGTTTCAGTCTTAATAGGTCTCACATCAAGTTTCTATGTGATTCACAAGCCTCATAAATTAAAAGGAAACTTATTTTACCAACTATGAGTCAGCCAAATGCTCCTTCATTTGCATCTCACACACTCCCCCTTCCAGCCACTGCTGCTCACAGTGGGAGGGTTTTAGCAGCACAGTCAGATCTTCAAATCCAGAAAGCAGTGGGCAGGACTATGTGTGGCCAGGTGGTGATTGACAAGCTACAGGCTAGTGAATCAGCAGTGACAACGCTGATAGCCATGCCCCCTGCACCATCTCCTCCGACTCCCAAAGGAAGCCATAGTTCTACTCTAAGTAAACCCTTAGAAATATGAATTCTGACTTAAATCGATTGATCCTAACCAATCTAGTGGGTCAGATATGTATGCAAATATGTCAACTTCCTCATTTGTAATTATCCAGGAGCATGCAGGTCAGACTGGGAGAGCACAACATCTTCACCTCTGAGGGCACCGAGCAGTTCATCAACTCCGCCAGAGTCATCAGACACGCCAGCTACAACTCCAGAACTCTGGACAACGACATCATGTTGGTCAAGCTGGCCTCTGCCGCCACCCTCAACTCCTACGTCAGAGCCGTATCTATGCCCTCTGGCTGCCCTGCCGCCGGAACCAACTGCGTGATCTCCGGATGGGGCAACACTCTCAGCAGTGGAAGTAAGTAGAAGGGAAATGAACAGGCAGATTTGTAGTCTAAGTCTACAAAGGACACTTTATTTCCAGCAATGTTTCCAGCTCATTGGCAAGTGTCAGCAGGAAAAGTTTTTGTCCCAGTTGTGAAAACAATTATGAAGTTGAACTCAATTGTATGTCAAGGTACCGTTCACTGTAGGGCACAGACATAACATTAAGGCTGGACACTTGTAAGGTCATAATAGTTCTCACATATAACACTACTTAAGATCCTAAAATATTCTATAGTGTGTATTTATAAAACATTTGCAGAGCCGTTCTTCTCTACTTCCAAGTCAAATGTAATAATTCATAAGATTAGAGTGAATAAGGAAAATACATCATTATGACTGTTGATCATGGGGATCATAGGATCATAGGAAATAAATACGTATGTATCATTTATGTTTACACTTATAATTCTATGATCCCCAGCTTCATCTAGTGGCCATAATGCAGTATTTTCCTGGTTCATGCTAATCTGAAGAATTAATTACATTCAACCAGGAAAGAAAATATACAAATTTATTGGTCTGCCTAATTTATTTTTGCCTCATTCACGCAGAACAAATTTACATGCAGTTTTATAGAATTAATACCTCTGCAAATTTTTTTATAAAGACGCACCCTACTTCATCCCATTAGGGAAATTTTCTTTAACTTCCTGTCTTGAAGACATAACAGGAAGTGAAAAGGAATTCCTTCAGTAGGGGAAATCCCCCTTCAGTCCACTTTCACTGGTGTGATCAGGTTCCCCATTGATATTTTGCTAAGAGCTGTAAAATTTTGGAATGCCCATCTAGTTCTGCCCTACTTACAAACAGAAGTCATAGCCAGTTATAAAGACTTGACAAAGGTTTTTACTCTTCCCTATGCTATGAAAAACTAAAAAACAATGTTGTGGCCTTAGCTATACTTTTACACTGTGATTAAACATAGCACAAAACATAATTCTGTTATTAATTTTTCAGTTTGGTTTAATTTCAGTAACTAACAAAAATAAATATGAATTGATCAGTAACTGTAGCCATTTCTCTGTAATAATACTGAATGTGCAGTAAAAGGATTATCTAATCATGGGCCTGCTATAGCTTTGTATAGTCTCAAATAATGAAACGAAAACCAGCACTAAAAACAAATATATCATTTATAAGAATTTTTTTTTAAATGATGGGAATGTGAAAAAATGTATTTTATCGATGTTTTTATTCTTTTATATTTTTTATTTATTTGTTTTAACTGTCTAAAGTTCACTTGTATACATTATTACCTGTATGAACAACCAGACTTGTAGATGCCTCTTCTTTGTAACAACATTATAGAATATTAACGGACATTTGGTTTTTATCTTGTAGCCAACATGCCTAGCCTCCTGCAGTGCGTGAATGCCCCCGTCCTCACCGCTGCCCAGTGTAGCAACGCCTACCCCGGTGAGATCACCAACAACATGGTCTGCGTCGGTTTCCTGGAGGGTGGCAAGGACTCCTGCCAGGTAATACTTTACTATTTTACACTTTTATGCAAAGTATCTTACTATCTAACTTTCTTTAAGCCAATGCCACACACACGGCTAGAATCAACAGCTGAGTTGCCTTATGTATAGAAACTCTCATTGCTGACAAAAAATTGTAAATGAATGCGCAAAAACATTCTTCTTGAGATCCAGCCTCAGGCTGTCTCATCGTCTGCCTGGGGAGAGATTAAAAGAGAAAACACCACACACAGCTATTCTGATTCTTACTATTGTCATTCTTGATTGGATATCTTGTTTAGCCTTCTTGACCATTTAAGTCTTTCTTTTCGCCTTCTGTATCTCTGCGGGTTGAGCTAAATTGATGCAATTGATTTCCTTGCCTCGTAGACATAGAATCCATCTAAAGAGCATTTGAAACTAACATTTGAACGTTTCATATAAAAGCACACTATTTATGTGTAAATTCAAGAAAAAAAACTTGGTCTTTAATCATCTCTTTTACAATTTCAGGGTGACTCCGGTGGACCCGTGGTCTGCAATGGACAGCTCCAGGGGATTGTCTCCTGGGGATATGGTTGTGCCCTGAGAAACTACCCCGGTGTCTACACCAAGGTCTGCAACTACAACGCCTGGGTCTCCAGCACTGTGGCTGCCAACTAAATACCGGTCTTTTCCTGTCATCGAGTACACAGCTGTATAGTTTTTGAATAAATTGTTATAAACAACTGAAATGTTTTGTGTGTTATATTAAAAATCATCTGCGGCAATATTCCATCTAAAACACTGGTAAAATATTGATATACAATCTCGCACATGAGTACTCGAGTTATAATTCTCACGGCACCTTGTTTCATTTTCAGCATCTTACTGATGCCAGGGGTTAAATACGGCACCACATCTGTGCTTTTTTACTGCAAGGGAAAGGAGTCATCCTATAACAGGATATCAGGGTCAGTGCTCAGTGGACCTGTTGATTCTGCAGGACATTAAAACCTTTGAACAATAAGGAGCAGCATCCATTGTAAGAGTCCCCACTCACCCTGTCCCCAACCCTGAATCCCCCTACATGTAGTACATGGCACACTGTCACCCGGAGAAACCTTCGCCACCTCGACCTTTCTCTTCTCTACTCTGCTACTGACTACTTGGATGACAAAATCTCATCCCTGTTTTGACTTGGCTATTTCTGTCTACAACAGCTTGCTCTCATCCTCCCTAGACACTTTGGCTCCCCTCACTACACGCAGACTTAGACCACGTCCACTACATCCGTGGCGAACTAAAGAAACCAGACATCTTAAAAGACATAGCTGTGCTCTTGAACGACTGTGGTGAAAAACTAGGCTTCTGCTAGACTTCACCCTGTAGAAATCGGCCCTCCTAAAATATAATTCCTTCCTCCGTGCTGCAAAACAGACTTATTTTGTCACTCTCATTAACACACTCTCATCCAGACCTCGTCAACTCTTTTCTACTTTTAACTCTCTACTATGTCCCCCACCACCACCGCCCACTAACTCGCTCAATGCCCAGGACATTGCCATTCATTTAAAAAACAAAATAGATACAATTCAGGATAAGATCTCCACTGTCCAATCATCTTCCTCTATTCATGTACCAGACCCACCATCACACTTGTTACTTTCCTCTTTTCACCCGGTCACCACAAAGGAGGTTACAGAGCTTCCCTCACCACTACTTCGGGCACCCTCTTTCCTACACTCTGCTACTCACATTTTCAATCTCTCCCCCAAAGCTCTGTCCTTGGACCCCTTCTCTTCTCTATCTACACCTCCTCCCTTGGTCAGTTAATAACCTCACATGGCTTCCAATACCATTTCTATGCCAACGACACTCAAATTTATCTTTCCACTCCACAACTCACCCCCTTGGTGTCCTCTCGTGTCACTAATCTACTAACTGACATATCCGTCTGGATGTCACAACACTTCTTAAAACTCAACTTTTCAAAAACTGAGCTCATGGTATATTCTCCTGCCCGTGCACCTTTCTCCAACTTTTCGCTTAAGATTGATAATACAACTATCCAACCCTCCCCCCATTGCAAGGTGCTAGGTGTTATCCTTGACTTGGACCTCACCTTTCTTCCCCACATCCAATCGCTATCCAAATCCTGCTGCCTTCACCTTCGTAACATCTCCAAAATACGCCACTTCCTCACCAAAGAAACCGCAAAACTACTCATACACTCCCTTGTTATCTCTCGTCTTGACTATTGCAACTCCCTGCTCATTGGCGGACCTCCACACAGGCTCCTCCCCCCTTCAGTCTATCATGAATGCAGCTGCTGGACTCATCCACCTAACAACCGCTCAGTGTCTGCAACCCCCCTCTGCCAATCCCTCCACTGACTTCCAATAGCCCAAAGGCTATATCTCAAACCTAGTCTCAAAATATCCCCGTAACTGTTCCCTCCACTTTTCCAAAGGCCTCCTGCTTTCCAGCTCCCTCGTCAACTCCTCCCATGCTCACCTCCAGGACTTCTCTACAGTCTCTCCCATCCTCTGGAGCTCTTTACTCCAACCTGTCCGTCTATCTCCCAATGTGACTCCCTTAAGACTCATCTCTTCAAGGAAGCATATCCCACCTCAAACTAACCCCTCAACCTTCACATTCTGATACAATTCATTCCCACACAGCTACCTCCTCATGTATCACTTGAACCTCCCTTTTAGATTGTAAGCCCTCACAGGCAGGGCCCTCCTTACCATCTTGTCTTAAATTGTATTGTGATTGTAATGTCTTCCTTATATTGTAGAGTGTTGCACAAACTGTTTTCTCTATATAAATCCTGAATAATAATAATAGAATGATTCAGCATTTGAAATAGCTTCAAAACCTTTTGAGTTTGCTATTACTTTAAGTTTAGCTCTGCCTTCAAGTAGATGTAAACCTAATCACTAAAATCTCATATAAGATATATAATCTCATATGACCGAATGCAGCCGTACAGAGCCGATGTACAGCTGAAATCAGCCGTACAAGCCAGAAGTGAATAGCCGAACAGCATTCAGCTCATTTCACTTCAGCTCGGTTATTCACTCTACTGCCTTCAGCAACTTAGTGAATAACCCGGGTAATGTATTAACATATTTTGAAAAAGTAATTTTCATTATGTTTCTTTCTGCAGCTTTCAATAAACAATACCTGGTGAAGCTGCCATTATTCTTCTTATTATATGATAAAATGCCAACAGAAATACAATTTCAGTACAATCGGGTTAGGAGGGCCCTGCTCATGAGAGCTTACAATCTAATAGGAAGGGCAAGTGATACAAAAGGTAATAAATGTTTAGGTTGAGTTAGTGAAAGAAGTAAAAGGACAGTTATTATGTAGAGATGAGATAGGCTTCCCTGAAAAGATGAGTTTTCAAGAATCACCTAAAGGTGGACAGAGTAGAAGATAAGCGGACAGATTGGGGTAGGGAGTTCCATAGGATGGTACACACTCTGGAGAAGTCCTAGAAGCGAGCTTGGAAGGAGGTAACAAGAGAGCTAGAGGGCAGGAGGTCTTGAGAGGAGCAGAGAGGACGGTTTGGGTGATATTTTGAGACGAGGTTGGAGATGTAGTGGGGGGGGGGCAGAGTTGTGGATCACTGTATGTTGTTAGTATTTTGAATTTTATTTGTTGGGCAATGGAGAGCCAGTGGAGAGATTGGCAGAGAAGGGCGGCAGGCACTAATCTGTTGGTAAGGTGCAGGGGCGGACTGAGAACACATGGGGCCCTCGGACAATACCAGATTATGGTATCCCCTTATGCTATGTCTATATACAAGCCCCACCGATACACACACATTCCACCCACATATACAGGTGAAACTCGAATAATTAGAATATCGTGCAAAAGTAATTGCAGTAAGTGCTGCAAAAGGGGCCCAAACCAAGTACTGAGTACATATGCATGCTTGTACTTTTCAGAGGTCCGATATTGTTCTATGTACAATCCTTGTTTTATTGATTGCATGTAATAATCTACTTTTTTGAGGTTGTGGATTTGGGGTTCTTGGGGTTTTCATGAGCTGTAAGCCATAATCATCACAATTATGACGAATCACGGCTTGAACTATCTTGCTTTGCATGTAATGAGTCTCTCTCATATATTAGTTCCACGTTTTAAGTGGCATTAGTGAAATAAATGAACTTTGCACGATATTCTAATTATTCAAGTTTCACCTGTACCTTCTTGTGTTACAGAAATGTTTTCTCCACATTATTTTCAAGAAAAGGACCAATCATTAAAAGGTGTATTGTGGGGGAATTGGTAGGAGAATTTCAAAATCTAGAACAATATAGCAGAATCTTTTTGGTTTGGCTATTTTGATCTAAATTCTTAAATTCTGCCAATTATCCTGGGTGATTTTCAGGAGAATTAGTTGGAGAGATGACAGGGGAACTGAATATTCTAGAACCGGAGTGGGGGTTTGGGCACATACTGCAAGAGCGGTATGCAAGAATACAAACATCCATTCCCAGTGTGTGCGGTAAGGTCCACAAATGATCAGTCTGCCTGAAAGGTCAGTCTGCCTATGACCAGCAGCACCAATGCACGGCCGACTTCAGACCAGAACCAATGCACAGCAGACCTCAGACCAGAACCAATGCACAGCCGATCTCAGACCAGAACCAATGCACAGCAGACCTCAGACCAGAACCAATGCACGACAGACCTCAGACTGAGATCCAATGAACTGCAGATCTTAGACCAGCACCAATCCAAGGCAGACCTCAGACCAGCACCAATTTACAACAAACTTTAGACCAGCACCAATGCACGGCAGACCTCAGACCAGCACCAATGCACAGCAGATCTCAGACTAGCACCAATGCACAGCAGATCTTAGACTAGCACCAATGCACAGCAGATCTTAGACTAGCACCAATGCATGGCAGATCTCAGACCAGCACCAATGCACGGCCAACTTCAGACCAGCACCAATGCCAATGTGAATAACGCCACTCTCAGTTGTAAAGAACACAGAGCTCAACAGTAAATAAGCCAAGGTGAGTAAGTGGGTGACAGGCCAGTAGGGGGTCGGTGACGGACCCCTTCCTGACCGCAGACCCTCAGGCAGTGCCCAAATGGTCAGTCCACCTAAGGTGGTCCTCAATGCGCCATAGAACAGAAACAAGAAGTCATCAAATCATGGTCTTACATCCGAGGGTAATGAAGGAACTTAGCCAGTTCAAAGCCAGACCCTTGTACATCATTTTTATGGACACTCTGATGACAGGTTTGGTCCTGGCCGATTGGAGGAAAGCGACTGTGGTACCAATAGAAGTACACCGGGTAACTACCGGCCTGTCAGCTCAACATCAATAGTGTGCAAAATATTCGAAGGCATGATAGGACACTACATGCAGGAATTTATGAATAAAACTGGTATCATAAGTAGAACCATTCTTGCCAGACCAATCTATTAACATTTAATGAGGAAGTCAGTATTAATTTGGAAAGAGGAATACCAGTAGATGTGGTGTAGCTGCTTTTCTAAAGCATTTGACACTGTACCCCACAAACATTAACCTCTCAAACTAAGGTCTATATTTGACTAAATTGTATGTACATGGGTGAAACATTGGCTGCAAGAACCGTAGTGGGATTTTGATACTAACACAAATATTTTACATTGACATTAATTAACATATATATATAGTGCAATATAAATGGGTAAGCCGTATTAATCCAGTAGACAAGATGTCAAAAAAGACAAAAACGCAGTATTGCAGTGTGCAATGATACCTTTCTTATTGGACTAACAAAATATATATATATATATATATAATCTATCTATCTATCTATCTATCTACCTATCTATATATATATATAGGGATAACTGATAGGGAGTCTTACCCTTCCCTACTCTATGCAAGTCTAAAAAAGGAAGTTTTGCCTTCACATACACTTTAATCACAGCTGCAAGACATCTGCTCACATGTGAAAACATAGATATAGATAGATAGATAGATAGATAGATAGATAGATAGATAGATAGAATACATATATAATTTGTTATAAGCAACATGTACAACATTTGATTTTGTAGATCGAGGTCAACTAACCCTTTATGTACAACATGGGTTGAGGTAACAGGTGTTTAAAGACAGAGTCTTAGCAACTTTTCTGACCTTGGTTTAATTAACATGTGTCCTATGGTCATGATATGAGAGACCTTAGGTTAATGAACAGTAGGTTCAATACCAACACAGCTGATCCTGTTCTTTTTTTAAATTTCCTTGCACATGATTGGGTAGTCTTTGCAAAGTGAAATTTCATCGTATTAAACAAGCTAAGAGGAAACTTCCCCAGCAAAGTGCAAATTCCTATGCAAAGTAAACACACTATTTACCTTTTGCAAATCAACCCCACACAGTACATGAAATAGGTTTAAAATATGGTTTCAGTCCAACTCCAGCCAAAGTTTATTTTTTTAGTTTTGGAACTGGAGTTGAGAAGAGACAAAAATTCTGTTTTCAGTTTTAATTGTGGTGTGGAAGTGATGGAAAGTCAATCTGTTGAGGAGATGAACTGCAAAAATGTGAACCAGCAAAGTGTTTTTTTTAAGTAAAATGAAAAAAGGTTCAGAAGTTATGTTCGGTTATTAGGTGTTGACAGGTCTATATTTGTTCAGAATGAGTTTCAAGTTTATTGGAATACAATTTTTTTTTCAGAAGATGGTTACCTTCAGGTATCAGTGAATTCTACACGATCTCAGAAACGTCTCAATCTGAAGTATAAAAACTAATTTTATTTGTCCATTGAAGCCCATTGACTTTATCACTATATTTATCTTCCTGTCTCAGTTACACCCAGCCATCCATACAGCTTGTCCAGCTATCTTAGGGATACAAAGTGAGGTAAAATCCACCCAATGGGGTCATAAAATCAGAAAAAAGTGTCTATTTAGTTTCACATCAAAAACATCAAATATATTTTTGATAGCACATCAGTAAAATAGGTAAAAGAGAAAAGAACATAAAGTCATTGAATGTAATGTAATTGAAATTTGAGTGCTAACTATGAGCTAAATGATTTTGTTCCAAGCCGAAAAAAGCATGATCTTCTTTAAAGATAATTAAAAATGTACAGTATATGATGGTAAAAAAGTGTTATGTATATAAAATGCTCAAAGTGGTACGTTGCATACAAATATAACTTAAAATGTCACGAACTTTCATATATTTTGCTGGATTAGAGCTGCACATTCAAGGTTTCAATTATCTGTAAAATAGTTTGAAATAGGTTTAAAAAAAAACAGAGACCTTGAGTAACCAGCCTTCACGTGTTCAGTGTCCCACCTGGTTATTCATTTGTGCATTGATTACTTATCACATATGGGGCAAAGGTTAGGTGAAAATATTTCATTTTTTGGTATAAATACCCGGAGCTACCACAGTTTACTCATTCCGGATCATCATCACCATGAAGTTTCTTCTACTCTGTATGCTCCTCGGAGCTGCTGGTGAGTCATCCTGTTTCTTGACATCCTTCCTTACTACATCCTATCCTTCCTTGACAGAAGCATATCAAAAATTATATCAACAGAAATTTAATTAGGCTGAAAAGACACAAATATCTGAAAGATTCTTCATGGAAAAATCACACATTTAAATGCAAATAAGACAAACCCTCAATGAAGCAGATATCCATGTAACTACATAGTAGAGGAGAAGGATCTCTTCTTCATTACTATAAAGTGAATGTAAAGACAAAACTTTAGGATATTTTTATGCTTGGATAGAATAGGGAAGGTTTGAAAAACTCTTGTGAACAGGTGTCCCCATTGGAAGATTTACACTTACCACTTGCTCTGGTGAGAACTCTAAAATTTTGGATTTCCCATCACTTTCTGTTTTGGTAACAGCGGCTGTCATGGCAAATACAGAGGGCAATAAATAACTGATAGGGAGTCTTACCCTTCCCTACTCTATGCAAGTCTAAAAAAGGAAGTTTTGCCTTTACATACACTTTAATCTGAGCTGCATGACATCTGCCTACATGAAAACATGGTGTTATACAACTGCTAAGAGACACCAAGACATCAGGAACACTTGCCCTGCATATTCCTTCAACTTAGAAAATAAGTGTTCCCAAAGCACTGACTTGCAATGTAAAGCTGTGGTATGAATTGGTGGTCTACTTATATGCCCGGATGAACAGTGGCTTTCAAGACATCATTTTAAACTGGGAGGGAACCTTTTAGATAATCAATCAATGTATTTATTTATTTAGAATTATTATTACCGGTATATTGATTTTATATGAACTCTCAGAACTCAATTGATATACCTTGACTTCTTCCCTCCTCAGCTGCTTTTGAGGAGGACGATAAGATTGTTGGAGGCTACACCTGTGCCGCTTACTCTCAGCCCTGGCAGGTATCCCTGAACTCCGGCTACCACTTCTGCGGTGGCTCCCTGCTCAACAGCTTGTGGGTGATCTCTGCTGCTCACTGCTACAAGGCGTAAGTTTCTCAAACTTGCAAAACAAATTCAACACAGTGTTTTTTCTTAGTTATAAATGGTTGGTTATAAATGAATTAATATCTAGTACCCACACAGTGCATCTGTAGCTGCATGCCATTAGGTGAAGTTGTTTGTGCTTAATGAACTACTGAATTTTCTATGCTAATATTTTCAATTAATTTTGAGTATTTGTATTTTATGCATCTCAAAGAAGTCCCTGTGAGTAAGCCCAGTGCAGCCACTGACATGTTTCTCATTCATAACAACAGCACATTCACAGACAATGTAGAGGCTGGGGAAATGTTTTCCTGAAACCCTCTCCTAGTTCTGGGCCTGAATTTCCACTGATAACAGATAGAGAACACAGGGATAAATATAAACCCCAATCCTATACATATACAGACTGGCTACAGCTCAGCTCACAATACAACAATATCACCTACAGCACAGTATACAGTACAGAAAGTATTTTTTTTTCATGTTATCATGTTACTGAAAAGCAGTGAAAACTTTACTACTATGTAGCAGTCTTAATAGGTCTCACATCAAGTTACTATGTGATACAGAAGCCTCATAAACCAAATATGAGCCAGCCAAATGCTCCTTCATTTGTATCTCACACACTCCCCCTTCTAGCCACTGCTGCTCACAGTGGGAGGGTTTCAGCAGCACAGTCAGATCTCCCAATCCAGAAAGCAGTGGGCTGAACTAGGTGTGGCCAGGTGGTGATTGACAAGCTACAGGCTAGTGAATCAGCAGTGACAATGCTGATAGCCACACCCCCTGCAACATCTCCTCCCACTTTAGTGTAGGCAGGCTCAGCCTACCTAAGGCAGTTCTGCTCTGAATTCAGGAGCAGTGCAGCATGATTGCCACCTCATCACAGGAAGCTGCATTAGGTGGACCTGACTGGCAGGAACAACAAGCATTTGTGAGATATTTCATGGGGACCAAGTGGAAAAAGATAAGTGCATCTACACCTACAATTAAGCGCATCACATTTTTCAAAGGAGGCCATAGTTCTACTTTAAGTAAACTCTTAGAAATAGGAATTCTGACTTATATAGATTGACCCTAACCAATCTGTTTGAGAGCATTCTACAATATATTGAGTGGGACAGATGTGTATGCAAATATGTCAACTTCCTCCATTTGTAATTATCCAGGAGCATGCAGGTCAGACTGGGAGAGCACAACATCTTCACCTCTGAGGGCACCGAGCAGTTCATCAACTCCGCCAGAGTCATCAGACACGCCAGCTACAACTCCAGAACTCTGGACAACGACATCATGTTGGTCAAGCTAGCCTCTGCCGCCACCCTCAACTCCTACGTCAGAGCCGTATCTATGCCCTCTGGCTGCCCTGCCGCCGGAACCAACTGCGTGATCTCCGGATGGGGCAACACTCTCAGCAGTGGAAGTAAGTAGAAGGGAAATTAACAGTCAGATTTGTAGTGTAAGTGTACAAAAGACACTTCAATACGAGCAATGCTTCCAGCTCATTGGCAAGTGTCAGCAAGAAAAGTTTTTGAAAATGTCCCAGTTGTAAAACAATTATGAAGTTGAACTTTATTGTATTTCCGGGTACCGTTCACTGTAGGACACAGGCATAGCATTAAGGCTGGACACCTGTAAGGTCATAATAGTTCTCACATATAACACTTAAGAACCTAAAATATGATTTAGTACGTATTTATAAAAAGATTTGCAGAGCCATTCTTCTCTCTTTTCAGGTCAAATGTAATAATTTATAAGATTAGAGTGAATCATGAATATACATCAGTATGACTGTTAGATGGAGCTGGGGATCATAGGAAATAAATACTTATGTATAATTTATTCATACTTTATTTAAAAATATATTTATAGTTATTTATAAGTCTAAAGTGTTTTTTTTAAGTAAAATGAAAAAAGGTTCAGAAGTTATGTTCGGTTATTAGGTGTTGACAGGTCTATATTTGTTCAGAATGAGTTTCAAGTTTATTGGAATACAATTTTTTTTTCAGAAGATGGTTACCTTCAGGTATCAGTGAATTCTACACGATCTCAGAAACGTCTCAATCTGAAGTATAAAAACTAATTTTATTTGTCCATTGAAGCCCATTGACTTTATCACTATATTTATCTTCCTGTCTCAGTTACACCCAGCCATCCATACAGCTTGTCCAGCTATCTTAGGGATACAAAGTGAGGTAAAATCCACCCAATGGGGTCATAAAATCAGAAAAAAGTGTCTATTTAGTTTCACATCAAAAACATCAAATATATTTTTGATAGCACATCAGTAAAATAGGTAAAAGAGAAAAGAACATAAAGTCATTGAATGTAATGTAATTGAAATTTGAGTGCTAACTATGAGCTAAATGATTTTGTTCCAAGCCGAAAAAAGCATGATCTTCTTTAAAGATAATTAAAAATGTACAGTATATGATGGTAAAAAAGTGTTATGTATATAAAATGCTCAAAGTGGTACGTTGCATACAAATATAACTTAAAATGTCACGAACTTTCATATATTTTGCTGGATTAGAGCTGCACATTCAAGGTTTCAATTATCTGTAAAATAGTTTGAAATAGGTTTAAAAAAAAACAGAGACCTTGAGTAACCAGCCTTCACGTGTTCAGTGTCCCACCTGGTTATTCATTTGTGCATTGATTACTTATCACATATGGGGCAAAGGTTAGGTGAAAATATTTCATTTTTTGGTATAAATACCCGGAGCTACCACAGTTTACTCATTCCGGATCATCATCACCATGAAGTTTCTTCTACTCTGTATGCTCCTCGGAGCTGCTGGTGAGTCATCCTGTTTCTTGACATCCTTCCTTACTACATCCTATCCTTCCTTGACAGAAGCATATCAAAAATTATATCAACAGAAATTTAATTAGGCTGAAAAGACACAAATATCTGAAAGATTCTTCATGGAAAAATCACACATTTAAATGCAAATAAGACAAACCCTCAATGAAGCAGATATCCATGTAACTACATAGTAGAGGAGAAGGATCTCTTCTTCATTACTATAAAGTGAATGTAAAGACAAAACTTTAGGATATTTTTATGCTTGGATAGAATAGGGAAGGTTTGAAAAACTCTTGTGAACAGGTGTCCCCATTGGAAGATTTACACTTACCACTTGCTCTGGTGAGAACTCTAAAATTTTGGATTTCCCATCACTTTCTGTTTTGGTAACAGCGGCTGTCATGGCAAATACAGAGGGCAATAAATAACTAATAGGGAGTCTTACCCTTCCCTACTCTATGCAAGTCTAAAAAAGGAAGTTTTGCCTTTACATACACTTTAATCTGAGCTGCATGACATCTGCCTACATGAAAACATGGTGTTATACAACTGCTAAGAGACACCAAGACATCAGGAACACTTGCCCTGCATATTCCTTCAACTTAGAAAATAAGTTTTCCCAAAGCACTGACTTGCAATGTAAAGCTGTGGTATGAATTGGTGGTCTACTTATATGCCCGGATGAACAGTGGCTTTCAAGACATCATTTTAAACTGGGAGGGAACCTTTTAGATAATCAATCAATGTATTTATTTATTTAGAATTATTATTACCGGTATATTGATTTTATATGAACTCTCAGAACTCAATTGATATACCTTGACTTCTTCCCTCCTCAGCTGCTTTTGAGGAGGATGATAAGATTGTTGGAGGCTACACCTGTGCCGCTTACTCTCAGCCCTGGCAGGTATCCCTGAACTCCGGCTACCACTTCTGCGGTGGCTCCCTGCTCAACAGCTTGTGGGTGATCTCTGCTGCTCACTGCTACAAGGCGTAAGTTTCTCAAACTTGCAAAACAAATTCAACACAGTGTTTTTTCTTAGTTATAAATGGTTGGTTATAAATGAATTAATATCTAGTACCCACACAGTGCATCTGTAGCTGCATGCCATTAGGTGAAGTTGTTTGTGCTTAATGAACTACTGAATTTTCTATGCTAATATTTTCAATTAATTTTGAGTATTTGTATTTTATGCATCTCAAAGAAGTCCCTGTGAGTAAGCCCAGTGCAGCCACTGACATGTTTCTCATTCATAACAACAGCACATTCACAGACAATGTAGAGGCTGGGGAAATGTTTTCCTGAAACCCTCTCCTAGTTCTGGGCCTGAATTTCCACTGATAACAGATAGAGAACACAGGGATAAATATAAACCCCAATCCTATACAGATACAGACTGGCTACAGCTCAGCTCACAATACAACAATATCACCTACAGCACAGTATACAGTACAGAAAGTATTTTTTTTTCATGTTATCATGTTACTGAAAAGCAGTGAAAACTTTACTACTATGTAGCAGTCTTAATAGGTCTCACATCAAGTTACTATGTGATACAGAAGCCTCATAAACCAAATATGAGCCAGCCAAATGCTCCTTCATTTGTATCTCACACACTCCCCCTTCTAGCCACTGCTGCTCACAGTGGGAGGGTTTCAGCAGCACAGTCAGATCTCCCAATCCAGAAAGCAGTGGGCTGAACTAGGTGTGGCCAGGTGGTGATTGACAAGCTACAGGCTAGTGAATCAGCAGTGACAATGCTGATAGCCACACCCCCTGCAACATCTCCTCCCACTTTAGTGTAGGCAGGCTCAGCCTACCTAAGGCAGTTCTGCTCTGAATTCAGGAGCAGTGCAGCATGATTGCCACCTCATCACAGGAAGCTGCATTAGGTGGACCTGACTGGCAGGAACAACAAGCATTTGTGAGATATTTCATGGGGACCAAGTGGAAAAAGATAAGTGCATCTACACCTACAATTAAGCGCATCACATTTTTCAAAGGAGGCCATAGTTCTACTTTAAGTAAACTCTTAGAAATAGGAATTCTGACTTATATAGATTGACCCTAACCAATCTGTTTGAGAGCATTCTACAATATATTGAGTGGGACAGATGTGTATGCAAATATGTCAACTTCCTCCATTTGTAATTATCCAGGAGCATGCAGGTCAGACTGGGAGAGCACAACATCTTCACCTCTGAGGGCACCGAGCAGTTCATCAACTCCGCCAGAGTCATCAGACACGCCAGCTACAACTCCAGAACTCTGGACAACGACATCATGTTGGTCAAGCTGGCCTCTGCCGCCACCCTCAACTCCTACGTCAGAGCCGTATCTATGCCCTCTGGCTGCCCTGCCGCCGGAACCAACTGCGTGATCTCCGGATGGGGCAACACTCTCAGCAGTGGAAGTAAGTAGAAGGGAAATTAACAGTCAGATTTGTAGTGTAAGTGTACAAAAGACACTTCAATACGAGCAATGCTTCCAGCTCATTGGCAAGTGTCAGCAAGAAAAGTTTTTGAAAATGTCCCAGTTGTAAAACAATTATGAAGTTGAACTTTATTGTATTTCCGGGTACCGTTCACTGTAGGACACAGGCATAGCATTAAGGCTGGACACCTGTAAGGTCATAATAGTTCTCACATATAACACTTAAGAACCTAAAATATGATTTAGTACGTATTTATAAAAAGATTTGCAGAGCCATTCTTCTCTCTTTTCAGGTCAAATGTAATAATTTATAAGATTAGAGTGAATCATGAATATACATCAGTATGACTGTTAGATGGAGCTGGGGATCATAGGAAATAAATACTTATGTATAATTTATTCATACTTTATTTAAAAATATATTTATTATTATTTATAAGTCTATAAATCTATGATCCACAGCTCCACCTAGTGGTCATAATGCAGTATTTTCCTGGTTCACGCTAATCTGAAGAATTCATTACATTCAACCAGGAAAGAAACTTTACTAATTTAATAGTCTGGCAAATTTATTTTTGCCTCATTCACACAGAACGAATCTCCATGCAGTTTTACAGAATGGATACATCTATACATTTTTTTTATAAAGACACACC